AGCATGAATGAATACATATTATTCTTCCCAGAGCCACCCAAGAATTCTGGTGCCAGTTATGCGGTTCTTCCATGGGAGCTGTTATTGAAGAAGGTCCTTAGGAGACTCTCTGTGCTTGGATGCCTAATGGGACAAATTGGTAATACCTTATTGACAAAGAATACACATACAATGGTTACAATATACAGACAAATCAATCTGAGACTGAACTGAATATTTCCCTACTGTCTACTTTTCCAAGAGCAAGATTCTATTTGGGCCTCTAGGAGAGAAAGGAACAACAGTTTTACCCAACACTGAAATCTACAAATTACCATACCTATGTACCAAGCAAGATGTACTCCACTTTACAGGAGCTGCAGGGCTGTTATAGTGGTAAGTAATTTCTCTCTGGTCATATGTGAGGCTCATTCTACAGTTGAATTTCCATGTTTGAACTTATAAACTTCTTAAAAACCTTGTTTTAGGGGGCTGGAGAGCTAACTTGCTGCTCTTTCAGAAGTTTTGAGTTCAGTTCCCAGCAACCACATGATGGCTCAAAGGTTTCCCTTTCTTTCCTGATCTTGCGGGCAAAAGCTGGAGATTTAACCTGGTACCCCTAACTTGGTACCCCTTTCCAATACACCTTCATAGTATTACTTGCTGGCCAACCTTTCAGGGCGATCTCTTAGTTCCCCATTGCTTTCTTGACCTCAATGGATCAGGTGAAAGGCTGGAGATTAAATTAATACACCTTCTCCGTAGAAGGTGATTTCTTAAGCAAAAGCCTGGGGATTTGACCATTCAATTTTACTGTTATAAGTTGAGATACCTGTTGTTAAATCTTTTCTTTCTAGGGTCTCTCCTCTCCTAAGTCTTGTTTCTTGCCGAACTTTCCCAGTCTTTTTAAGTCATTCTGGGTCTCGGTGGAACCTCCAATTGCGGCACACAAACCACAAGCGAGTAGAGGTATCAGGAAAAGAAAGACTAGATGTCCAGCTGTTTGTCCTAAAGTGTGTCTTTATTTTTAAAGTGCTAAGATGTCTATCTCTTGTCTTTATTTTGCAAGTGCTAGAAGGTCTCACTCTTATTGGAGGGAGAACTCTTATATATAATCTTACAACACAATAGAAAAACCCCAGGTGGAAGAGAGTGTGTTTTCCTTGTGCTAGTTGTTGATGTCAGTGGGGTAATGAGGGGGCAGGAAGCCAGAACTAGAAAACAGGATGCACCTGTAGCTATCAGCTGACAAACAACTCAGAGACCATGTGTGGGCTAGGCCCCAACAGCTAGGTATCAATAATAAGAGGTAAATTGTAATAATTCATCATATGTGGTGCATATTTATGGAAGTATATGGCAAAATGGATAATTTGCATGTGATTTGTGTGTTTGTGAAACACAGGTTTCTGGGCATTTTAACATTTCTCCTTTGTGAAATGCATATCTGCAAGCCTTTTAAACTTACCAAAACTCCTAAATAATTATAACGAGTTGTGCATTTTTGGCAAGGTAAAGGCCAACAACACGAGACTTCTCTAAGACAAGGCACAAAGGATAGACATTTCTCTGAAGGTGATGCATTTCCATGCAAAATGAGGGCCTGTGAGCATGAGGCTGCCATCAGTCTCTAAATGCAGATAAAGTTTACATAGGGTCGTTGTAGGAATCAGATTTTATGCTTACTGACATCACAGATTCAGGTAATTGTACCAAACTGACCACCACATGTCAGTGACTTTTCAGATGGGAAAAGATAAGCACTAGAGTGTGAAGACACAGGCTTTTTGTTTTTGATATTACGAGACAGTGTTTCTCTGTATTGTTTTGGAGGCTGTCGGTCCAGCCCGGCCTCGAACTCACAGAGATCTGCCTGCCTCTGCCTCCCAAGTGCTGGGATTAAAGGCGTGCGTCACCACCGCCCAGCGACACAGGCTTTTAATCCATATCTTTAGGCAGGATTTCATGCCTTTAATCCATGTGTCCCTTTTCCTTTCTTTCAGACAGAATCTCTCACAGAAACTGGAGATAGAATGACAGTCAGCAAGCACCAGAAATACTCCTGCCTGTTCCCCCAACATTGTATTACTACAAGAGTGAACAACTCTATCTAGACATTTTTATGTGAGTGATCAGACTCAAGCTCAGTTCTACTGTTTTCCAGCAACTGTTCTTCCCCACTGAGCCATTTATTACCCTGAAATTAATCATATAAGGCTATTTGAAATGATGTGTTGATTTTGTTTGCAACTCTCTAATGGAAATCACAATATATGGCTTATAAGTGTGTAGACAATGAGAGAACGTAATATTTTAATCATACTTTGTATGTATTTTGTGTAAATGAACTGTAAAAAAAAAGACAATGGCCTATAATTTATACATGTTTTTCTTAACTTTATAATATTTCTAGGCCATCAACTGCACATGTAACCTTGGTACAGCTGACACAAATCTTTAAGGAAAATCCTTTTTGCACAAGGTCAATGTCAAGTAGGCATTCTGTACATGAAAGGCTGTCTCAGGCTCAGCTACTAGTGGAGACATAATGAAGTGTTCGTTCAAGTTTCGGCCAAGATACTACCCTAATTTGTGTCATGTTACTAGTGGTTTCACAAGGGATCGATGTGATGGCCACTGTCAGTCACTCTTTTAACGTCTTCCTAGCAATCCCTAAAGTTTGGAACAACCTTTTCTGAGTTTCTGAGTTTGTTGTTGTTCTAATGTGCACAGCCTTGCCCTGATTGTGAGATTTCCTCTAAGTTTGAGTTCAGCTCTTCCTTCTCTCTTCAAATATCCATGCCATAGTTGGTCATCAGGAGCCCTTTAGTCTGGTCCACCAGATAAAGGACTGAACCATGTAAACTACTAAGACTTGAATTACTATCTGGTACATTGTCCCTAAGCAGGTTTCTATACTCTTTACTCTCAATGGTCTTATCAGTCCAGTGAGATTGGTGATGAAGAGATAACAGAAAAAGAAAAGAACTCTCCAGACTGAGGGTGGGGGCATGCCAGAGGGTTAAGTCGTATTCTGTGGACACTGTGTTCTAGCATGCAGTATCAGGAACAAGAAAATTGAAGGAACGGAGCTTCCTAAAATCTATTACTATCTAGGCAAAGAATGCAGAATCAACATGGGACTTGGGGAACGGGGAAACTTCTGGAGAAAGATAAAAGGCAAGAAGGGATACTAAAGTGTATGAGGCTAGAGGTGGGGTCTTGGGGCTTTGAAGGACACACCACTCACAAACAGGAGACCGAGAGTATACAGTGAGTAAAGCAATGCATGAATCCTACCAATACTGCCTGCCATGGTGGAGCCAAACACAGCTAAACAATTAGAAAACGCAAGAGAAGCCAACACACTTGTAGTGAACAAGACACTCCATCCTAAAGAAGAGGCTCCAGGAAAGACACAGGAAAGCCATTTCTAAAGCATGAACCCTTCCCCTAAATAAGACAAGACAGGTAAGGTTATAACAAGTAAAGGCACAAATACTGACAGCACAGAGGTCAGATACTGCCCTAGGATCAGACAGGTGCCAAGAGAGCAGATACCCAAGTGTATATAGTCCTTCAGTTCTAGGAACAAATGTAGTGTTTACTAGAACTCCTAAACCCATGTTCTGAATATTGGAGGTTGAATCAAGAATTTCTGAAAGGATGTCAAGCATGTGCTAGAGTTCAGATCACACCCCACCTAACAGGTCAGAGGCTCCAAGATGGATGTGGGACCTGTAATCTCCCTTGTCTCAGCCATCTTGTAGCCAGTATGAGGTGAGGCACACCAACTGTAAAGGTGTACACTGAGACCTTACTCCCAGGACATTGCAGCCTTGGGGTTTTTATGGAACAAAAAGCCAATGTGGGATCCATGGAAAGCAGTGATTCACAGGGAAGAGAGGATCACGAAGTGCTGCCACAGACCTGGGAGAAGAAGGGAGAGAACCTGCTTCTCCACCTCTTTGGGATTACACGATAAGACCTTACATTGGCTCTGACACACGTTCATACTCAAAAGTGAAAACGACCCTCCAGTGGCTCCATGAAGCTGAAATTAAGTAGACCTGTGTCTTCTGGGCATTCCCCTGGTGTTTATCTTGATTAGATTAAGTGAGATGGGAAAACCTGTTCCCTGTAGGTAAAATCTTTCCCTTGGATCGGATCCTGGACTGTATAAAAGGAAGAAACATCAGCACAGTATATCCACTCATTATTCTTTGATTCTGGTCTCTGGTTGAAATGTCATTCTCCTTCTAGATTTTTCTTCTATCTATTGCTCCCATTTATGGACTCCAAACTCAAACTCCATGGCAAAGTAAATCTTTCCTTGCTCCCTGCATCTGGGAACACAATCCTAACAAAACTTCCAAGGAGCCCTATACCAATAGTCAAAATCTTTGGCATTGGTGTGTAAGAGGAAGAACGTTATGTATTCTGGGAAATATAGACTCTGAATAATAGATGCAAAGCATACTCAATCCTGCCACTATTAACTATCATGCATTGGAAAGAGGAAAAACACAGAAACCTTACTGATACACTCCCTTAGCCTTCTAAGCACAGGGTCTAAGATGACCATCCCTGGAGCCCTCTCTCGAGGGACCTGACTGAGTAGGAATGCCTGTATCTAACACAACTTCGTCCTCATTCTTGAGACTTAGAACATTGACAGATCACTTGTGAGACTTTCCACATCTGTATCATCTATGTCTGGGACAAAGTGACTGTGAGGGTGACTCAGTCATTCATGTCTACCTGAAGTGAAGTTTCACTCACTCATACAAGATAAGTCTCAAATTTCCTAGGGTTTACCACTACTCAATGAAAGGCAAAGGTGGTCTTTAACTGAATATTTAAATTCTGTGGCTGTACTTCTACTGAAGACCTAGAGAAACGAATAGTATCTACATTACTAAAAACTACAGCAAAACATCTCCACAGATTTACATGTAGTTCATAGCATAAAGGGCATCTATTACACATAACTGAATATAATTACTGAATTTCCTCTGTACCTTCTGTTTTGATGTGGGGTGTTTCTCTTGAGGTACTAGCGATGTCCTGAGGTTTGTTCTCATTAAGGGGGACCATATGTTGATTTTGATAAAATTCCTTCACGATGACACAAACTGGGAATGAATTCACAACAGGGAGAGTTATATCAACTTCATGCAGATAAACAGGAAACTGCTAATAGTTGAATGTTTGTACATTTGATCTCCTTATTTATTTTCAGGTAAGTCACTATAATTAGAATGGTGTTTCAAGATGATCACTGAGTTCACTGTCCAATTAATTATGCATCACATGATGATACAGGTAAAGTCTATTATGGATCACATGAGGTTGTAGGTAAAGTCTAAATTGATATAGATGTGACAATAGGGTAAAGTCTAAATAACAGATTGGTGACAGAGAAAGAAGAACAGCATGACTATGTTGGTGTGGTGTCTTATAGGCAGCATTCAAATCCCATTTAGAGCATCATGACACATCTAAGTGCATGCAATCCCTCTGTGGTCACATCTTTGCACCAGTGAACTGAAAGTTTCATAGGGACCCCCAGGAGTCTTATCAGTGCAAAACAAAATATATAATGTTGAAGCATAAGGAAAAGCACATGAACTGCACAAGTGTTCCATGCTTTTTGGGAAATGCAAGAACAACTCGACTAGACAGGAATGACTGAATCCTGAGCAAGAACTTAGTTTTCCACAGGACAGTGACCAATGGTTGTTCATATTTTATCCTTTGCTTATCCAGGATATTTTACAGTTCATGAAGAACATATGGCATCACGTTAAGTGAGTTTGGAAGGTAAGCATCTGTGTATTCCTCTAACTTTTTAACCTTGATTACCATATTAGGTTATGACCACGATGTTCTGACTAAATTCCTTGACATAAATAACCGAAGAAAAAGATGCTCTGACTTTGATCTCTGATTCAAATTATGAATTTCCTCCAAAATCAGTTGTAGAAAGTCCCTAATTAGTAAACACAGCCTTTCTCCAGCATCTTCATCCTTCCAGCAAGACATTCGGATCATCAAGGACCCACACTGAGAAGTGACTTATACTTGTGTGTCTACCATCATGACTAGACTCCAAGTAATTCTAAATGAAATCGTCACATCAAGGTTGGAAAAAAATCTTCTTAAATGGGCCAGCTCTGTATAAATGCTCAATGTGAACTGACATGAAAAAGGATTTGGTGCTCAGTAATGAAATGGCTCCCTCTCTAGCTGCTAGTAGATAAGACAAAGGCAGGGGCTACATGAGTAATGAGTGCAGACCGTATCTGCTGACTGTTTGCTCATCCAAATTTTAAAAATACTTAATTCTTTGGGAATTCCGTAAAATGTATTTTAACCACATTCATCCCTACTTATCACCCTAAGTCTCTTGGTTCCATTCATATCACTCCACTCATTATTAGCTTTGTGTTATTTTTATTTTCCCTAAAAACCCACCACAATCAATTTGCACTGATCATATATTCATGAGCATGTGGCTATCCTCTGTAATTTAGTCATCCCACTAAGGGCAAAGTCAGATCTCTTTCCATAAAGAGATCTTTTTGGGGCCTCTTCTATTTCATTTCATTAATTTTGTTTTTATTGGTTAATTGTTTACTTTTGTTGGTGAAAAAGGCCTCTAGCCTAGGCTGGGCTAAAATTCACTATTTAAAAAGGGCTGGTCTTGAACCTATGGCTTTCCTGAATCCACCACTCTAAATCAAAGATCATGCAAATATGGGTACATTCTATGGAGTACGTGGCACGAAACTCAGGTTTTTATGACATGATAGATATGTATTAACCCAATCCCCTTAATAGCTCCACTTAAACACATCAGCTCACTAGTGAAAGCCTTAACATGCAGACACACCAATGTGGACAGAATGACACCCAACGACATTCTTCCCTGATGATTATGTAAATCCACTGAGACTAAAAATGTAATTGGCGACATGGAGTCTCACTACCCATGACAGGATGTTGCCTTGTTGCTCAGAGTCTATCTCTCCTGTAAAAGTATATTGATGGCTTCTTGCAGAGGACCTGTACAATATCAAAGAGGTCAGCACTGGCTTGTAGGGAATGTCTTCTCACCCCTACATGAGAACCTATTGGTAATTTATAACTTCTATTTGAGGGAGGGACAGTTTGAATTAAAAGTGTTGACCCTGGAAAGTCAACCCCGTGTCAGTGGATGTCCCTAAGTGTTTGAGATTATGTTTAGCATAAAATGGGCTAGAAAGACATTTTTTAAGGATACAAATTTGGGAAAAGGTAAAAAGGCAGAGTGCATTTTTAAGAGTCATGAGAGATAAATAAGCAATATACATAAATTTATCAAAAATTTAAAAAGAAATAAAAATATAAATGGATTTCTTGAATAATGATTCAGCACAGATCATTAAACAAGTGACTAGAATTCTCAGCAGACACTGTACTTAAATTGTGTGCCTCTTTGTGCCCATGTTGATGTTGTCTAATCTGCTATTGTTGTTTTTAGGGGGTTTGGTATTTATTTTTGTTTTTTGCTAGATCTTACTGGAATGAAGCTTGTCTATGATTAACCAGGTTGGGAAATATCCACCCAGCTTTCCCATATACTTGTCTCCTGATCTTGTCTCCTGAAAAGAAGTATGTATGCCTCTTTACCTTTCAAAATTGTCATTATGTACTGAATGCTGATTGACAATCCCTAGGACTTCTAAACACTCCTGTAGTCATTATAGTGTTTGGGATCCCTATGGATTTGCCTTATTGTAGGCAGATGCAATAAAGCAGACCTTTCCCACAGGGATTATGATACCCTTGATGGGATAAGAAGGGGCTCTTGACATGCATTTTAGATAAAGAGCCTTGTGATGACTGTGTCTGTGCTGTGGTTTGTTCATATATAAAGGAACACACACATGTAATCCAACTCTCCCTGGCTGTGGTGAAGTTTGAACATATGTTTGTAAGTAAACTATATTCTGGTTTTTCAATTTACAAACTTATCACTAGAAATTGGATTGGGTAGTTGGGATGTTTTTAGATACAACTTGGTGAACAAATAACCCAGATAACTAGAGGAATCATAATTGAAAATGACAAACATAGACATATGTCTATTGTTTGTTACTTGGGATGTCACTTTCTTTAAAATCCAAACAAAAGTATTAAAACCTTGAATTCTGCTATCTCAGATCACAGTGTACCATCACAAAAAGACAACCAGTATTCATACAATTCCCACCTAAAATGAGTCTTAGAAAGTGAGTCCATAATACATACCACATCTGCGTTTGTTAGATATCATCTGTAATTGAAAGGAAAAAATAACATTTAGATCATGTTGAATAATGTCTGTCAAGGTCTTTGTTCTTTCCATAGTTGACATAATCAGTATAGAAAAGAGCAGTCAGGTGAAGCCTATATTAATGGACTCCTTGCTTTGATGATGTAACAGAAGATCTGGGGGTCTGTCCTTTGTGCTAAAGACTACCCTTCACATTTTTTCCAATTCAAGGGCAGATCTGGAAAACCTGCTTGGCCTCTACTGAAGGTACCCTAACCTACATCACATTCCCTCTATAAAAATATGTATTTTTCATTAAGAAATTTTCTGTTTCTAGGGACTATGGTAGAAATAATTTGAAATATGATCCAAAGTTTGATCTTTCAGTAGCTTAGTGTGTACAGCAACATTAGGACCTCTAAAACATGATGTACCAGGCTGGAGAGATGACTCAGATATAAACAGTATTGGCTGCTCTTCTAGAGGACCCAGGTTTAATTCCCAGAATCCGCGTGGCAACTCACACCCATCTGAAACTTCAGTTCCAGTGCATTTGATACACACATACACACATATATGCTCATACTGGGATTTGACTTCCACCACCCACATGGAGCTTCTGTCCTCCTTGGTACCAAGTACATGCATGGTGCAAATATACACATGCAGACAACACATTTAAGCATAAAAAACCCACCACCACCAAAAACAACAAGATCACTTTAATAATTAAAATGTTATGCCCATTGAAACTTAAGGGAACCACTGTGGTAACCTGTCAGTCTCAGAGAAAGACCCTCTTACCTTCGCTATCCTCCCTTGTGGATTTTGCTGGCACACAGGTGAAGCTGCGCTGTTAGAATGTTCAGGGGATGCTAGGGGGACAGAAAATGACAGTCAGCTCACAGGACTGCTTACAATTTACACTGGTCTTTACTTGGTGTGAGTAAAAGTGCATTTACTTGGTACATGTGACTAAATCTATTCAACAAGATGGCCTGTTGCTGCTAGACTGCCTTCCCATAAAGCAAACTAAGGCAGCAGGAAGACTTGGAGAAAAATGAGGATATACCTTTGTACATCTAACAAAAGCTTGATCCAGATGACCTACTGAGATTCAAATGTTTTTCCAGGCATAGTGCCCCCAGGAAGAATTCTATTCAGTTCTCTTCTGATGATTTTGTCAGTTTCATGAGTTTTGTGATGAAAAGACATATAGTGGACACAAAACGGTCTAGTACATCAAGTGTTGAGGCTGCAGACATGCCTGGTGTTTGTCCACATTGCATGAACAATGTGTTCCAGTATGCAGCATCAACAGAAAGGTAGCAGGTAGATGAGACCGCGTAGGCCTCCTTCAATCTCCAGACCTGTGGTCCTGAGCCAATGAGGAGATTATGAAAGAGGAGACGTGGCTATAGAAGGATTGGGGCAAGAGGCAATAAGGGAGACTGACAGGGAGGGGCTAGAAGTGGAATCCCGTGTCTCTGTCACATACGGGTCATAATCAGGAGCCTGACCTTACAATCAATAAACACTGTGCATTAAATCTACAGGACTAGCCTATGATTGGTTCCAAACCCACTTTAAAAATGAGAGAATCCAGGAGAAGCAGACATAATTCAGAGAGGAACCTACACAAGAAGCAATTTGAAGCCCCTGTGAGGAATTAGATCCCTATTATAACCTCATATGCAGAACAGAAGCAGGTCAGACCATGACATGAGTGAGACATTCAAGTATTGACACCACAGAGGACAGACATAGCCTAAAGTCAGATGGCTACCAGGAGAGTCTCTCCCCATGAATCCATGTCCTTTATCCTGAGAAACAAACTCAGGACAAATCTCAAACCCAGCCTCTGCATCTTGGAGGGTGAATCAAGGGAGCCTCAAAAGGCACTAAGGATGAGTCAGTTTGCAGACTATTTCTTATTCATTAAGTCAAAGGATCCAAGATGAATATCAGCATATAACCTCTCTTGACTCAATCATGTAGCATGCAGTCCAATATAAGAGTATATAGTGGAGCTGTCCCTCCGGCAGCATCAGGTAAACAGGCCGGCTTCCCGGCCTGTGTTCCAGAGCCTGCAGATCGCCTGGGAACTGCACAGAGCTCCCAATCCCGGCGGGAGCCAAGCAACCCAGACTCCAGATCTTCTCTCCCACCAACGAGACCAGGAAAATAGAGGAGCCAGGGAGACCAGGGGAGTAGCTGTTCCGGATCAGGTACAACAGGACCCAGCAGAGGGTCCAGGGGACCAGGTAGGAGGCTAAGCGCCCCAGATTCCTGTTCTTCTTCTCCACCCACGGACCACCATTTGGACAAGGTATAGAAGAACCAACAGATTATTGGACTTGCTAGCACCCATCAAAAGGGAACTCTGGTCCCCAGACCAGTAAGGGGCTCTTTCTGCACCCACTAGAAGAAGAGATGGGAAAGAGACAATACAAAAACACAGTCAGCAACAGAAAAACAAATATGACACCGCCAGATTCTAGAGACTCCACACCAGCAAGACCCCAACATTCCAATCCAAAGGAAGCAGAAGAGAACGACCTTAAAAGCACTTTCATGAAAATGATAGAGGCCCTAAAAGAGGATATTGGAAAATCCCTCAAAGAAATGGAAGAAAAAACAAACCAAAAAATGCAAGAAATGGAAGAAAAAACAAACCAAAAAATGCAAGAATTGGAAGAAAAGACAAACCAAAAAAGGCACGAAATGGAAGAAGAAATGAAGCAAAAAATGCAAGAAATGGAAGAAAAAACAAAGCAAAAAATGCAAGAATTAGAAGAAGAAACATACCAAAAAAGGCAGGAAATGGAAGAAGAAACAAAGCAAAAAATGCAAGAAATGGTAGAAAAAACAAAGCAAAAAATGAAAAAAATGGAAGAAGAAACAAACCAAAAAAGGCAGGAAATGGAAGAAGAAACAAAGCACAAAATCCAAGAAATGGAACATAAAGCAAACCAAAAAATGCAAGAAATGGAAGAAAGAACAAACCAAAAAGTTCATAAAAGGCAACAAACGGACGAACAGATAAACAGAAAATTGCAAGAAGCAATGCAAACTCTGCAAGGGTTGAAAACTGAAATAGAGACATTAAAAAAAACACAATCTGAAGAAAGGCAGAAAATAGAAAAGCTGGACAAACAGTCAGGCACTACCAATACAAGCATTACCAACAGAATAGAAGAGATGGAAGAGAGAATCTCAAGTGTTGAAGATACACTAGGAGAAATGGATTTATCAACCAAAGAAAACCTTAAATCCAACAAATCCTTAACACAAAACATCCAGGAATTATGGGACACCATGAAAAGACCAAACCTAAGAATAATAGGTATAGAAGAAGGAGAAGAAATCCACCTCAAAGGGGCAGAAGGCATATTCAACAAAATCATAGAAGAAAACTTTCCCAACCTTAAGAAAGACATGCCAATGAAGGTACAAGAAGCCTACAGAACACCAAATAGAGTGGACCACAAAAAAAATCCCCTCGCCACATAATAATCAAGACCCCAAACATACAGAATAAAGAAAGAATATTAAGAGCAGCTAAGGAAAAAGGTCAAGTAACATATAAAGGCAGACCTATCAGAATTACACCTGATTTCTCCATGGAAACTCTGAAAGCCAGAAGGTCCTGGATAGATATTCTACCTGCACTAAGAGACCATGGGTGCCAGCCCAGACTACTATACCCGGCAAAGCCCTCAATCACTATAGACGGAGAAAACAAGATATTCCATGACAAAACTAGATTCAAGCAATATGTGTCCACTAACCCAGCCCTACAGAAAATTTTGGAAGGAAAACTCCAACCCAAGGAAGCTAACTACAACCAGAAAAACATAAGCATTAGAGAATCCCTCTCTACCAACAGCCAAAAGAACAAAGGGGTGAAATTCCACCCATAATTCCACCAACAACAACCATCGCAAATCGAAGAAGGATGAGCAATCAATGGTCATTAATATCCCTCAATATTAATGGCCTTAACTCACCCATAAAAAGACACAGACTAGCAGAATGGATTCGAAGACAGAACCCTTCCTTCTGCTGCATACAAGAAACACACCTCACCCTCAAAGACAGACATTACCTGAGAGTTAAAGGTTGGGAAAAAAATTTTCAATCAAATGGACCCAAGAAACAAGCGGGGGTAGCAATCCTAATATCTAACAAACTAGACTTTAAAATAAAATCAATCAAAAGAGATAAAGGAGGTCATTACATACTCATCACAGGTGAAACCCACCAAGATGAAGTGTCTATCCTGAACATCTATGCCCCCAATACAAAGGCATCCACATTCGTTAAAGAAACATTATTAGAACTTAAATCTCATCTAAAGCCCCACACAGTTATAGTGGGAGATTTCAACACACCACTCTCACCACTAGACAAGAATACCAGACAGAAACTCAACAAAGAAGCAAAGGGTCTAATAGAAGTAATGACCCAACAGGGATTAACAGATATCTATAGAACATTTCATCCACATAAAAAAGAATATACCTTCTTCTCACCACCACATGGAACCTTCTCAAAAATCGACCACATACTTGGCAACATATCAAACCTCAGCAACTACAAAAAAATTGGAATAACTCCATGCATCTTATCAGACCACCATGCCTTAAAATTAGAATTCAACAACAACACAAATTGCGGAAAACCTACAAACTCATGGAAATTGAATAATGCTCAACTGCAACATCCCTGGGTCAAAGAGGAAATAAAAAAAGAAATTAAAGACTTCCTCGAATTCAATGAGAATGAAGACACAACATACCCAAACCTATGGGACACCTTGAAAGCAGTGCTACAGGGAAAGTTCATAGCACTAAGTGCTCACATGAAGAAAGAGGAAAACAGTTATACCAGAGAATTAACATCACAGCTAAAAGCTCTAGAAAACAAAGAAGCACACTCCCCCAGGAGGAGTAGACGCCAGGAAATAATCAAATTGAGGGCTGAAATCAATAAAGTAGAAACCAGGAAAACAATACAAAGAATCAATGCAACGAAGAGTTGGTTCTTTGAGAAAATCAACAAGATAGACAAACCTTTGTCCAAACTTACCAAACAGCAGAGAGTGAACACGCAAATTAACAAAATCAGAAATGAAAAGGGGGACATAACAACAGACTCTGAGGAAATCCAGAGAATCATTAGGTCATACTTTGAAAACCTGTACTCCACAAAATTCGAAAATTTAAAGGAAATGGATGACTTCCTGGACAACTATCATTTGCCAAAACTAAATCAAGAACAGATAAGCAATTTAAATAGACCTATAACCCCTATGGAAATAGAAGCTGTCATCAAAAGTCTCCCAACCAAAAAAAGTCCAGGTCCAGATGGTGTCAGTGCAGAATTCTACCACAAATTCAAAGAACAGCTTATACCAATTCTTCTCAAAGTGTTCCACACAATAGAAGCAGAAGGGTCTTTGCCAAACTCTTTCTATGAGGCTTCAATAACCTTGATCCCCAAGCCACACAAAGATACAACCAAGAAAGAGAACTTCAGACCAATATCCCTCATGAACATTGATGCAAAAATACTCAATAAAATACTGGCAAATCGGATCCAAGAACACATCAAAACAATCATTCACCACGATCAAGTAGGTTTCATCTCAGGGATGCAGGGATGGTTCAACATACAAAAATCCATCAACGTAATCCACCATATAAACAAGCTGAAAAACAAAAATCACATGATCATCTCACTAGATGCTGAAAAAGCCTTTGACAAAATCCAACACCCCTTCATGATAAAGGTCTTGGAGAGATCTGGGATAACAGGGATATACTTAAACATAATAAAAGCCATAAACAGTAAACCAACAGCCAACATCAAACTAAATGGACAGAAACTCAACGCAATTCCTCTAAAATCAGGAACAAAACAAGGCTGTCCACTCTCTCCATACCTTTTCAACATGGTACTTGAAGTTCTAGCTATTGCCATACGACAACAAAGGGGGATCAAGGGGATACAAATTGGGAAGGAAGAGGTCAAACTTTCACTGTTTGCAGACGATATGATAGTTTACATCAATGACCCAAAGAACTCTACCAGGGAACTCTTACAACTGATTAACACCTTCAGCAAAGTGGCAGGCTACAAGATCAACTCAAGAAAGTCAGTAGCCCTATTATATACAGATGATAAAAGGGCTGAAAGAGAAATCAGAGAAACATCACCCTTTACAATTGCCACAAACAACATAAAATACCTTGGGGTAACGCTAACCAAACAAGTGAAAGACCTGTATCGTAAGAACTTTGAATCTTTAAAGAAAGAAATTAAAGAAGCCCTCAGAAAATGGAAAGATCTCCCATGCTCTTGGATAGGTAGGATCAATGTAGTAAAAATGACAATCCTGCCAAAAGCAATCTACAGATTCAATGCTATCCCCATTAAAATCCCAGCACAATTCTTCACAGACCTTGAAAGAACAATAAGCAATTTTGTATGGAAAAAAAAAAGACCCAGGATAGCCAAAACAACCCTGTTCAACAAGGCAACGTCCGGAGGCATCACCATCCCTGACCTCAAGCTCTATTATAGAGCTATAGTCCTGAAAACAGCTTGGTATTGGCACAAAAATAGACAGGTAGACCAATGGAATCGAATTGAAAATCCGGGTATTAACCCACACACGTACGAACATCTGATCTTTGACAAAGAAGCTAAAAATATACAATGGAATAAAGAAAGCATCTTCAACAAATGGTGCTGGCATAATTGGAGACTGGCATGTAGAAGAATGCGGATCGATCCATGTTTATCGCCATGCACAAAACTTAAGTCCAAATGGATCAAAGACCTCAACATAAATCCAGCCACACTGAACCTCTTAGAAGAGAAAGTGGGTGGTACCCTTGAGCGAATTGGTTCAGGAGACAGCTTCCTGAACATAACACCAGTAGCACAGACAGTGAGATCAACAATTAATAAATGGGACCTACTGAAACTGAGAAGCTTCTGTAAGGCAAAGGACACAGTCAGCAAGACAAAAAGGCAGCCCACAGAATGGGAAAAAATATTCACTAATCCCACATCTGAGAAAGGGTTGATCTCCAAAATTTACAAAGAACTCAAGAAGCAAGTCTCCAAAACAGCAAAGGACCCAATTAAAAAGTGGGCTGCAGAACTAAATAGAGAGTTTTCAATAGAGGAGTCTAAAATGGCTGAGAGGCACTTGAGAAAGTGCTCAACATCCTTAGCCATCCGGGAAATGCAAATCAAAACAACTCTGAGATACCATCTCACTCCTGTCAGAATGGCTAAAATCAAAAACACCAATGACAATTTATGCTGGAGAGGATGTGGTGAAAGGGGGACACTCCTCCATTGCTGGTGGGAGTGCCAACTGGTTCAGCCACTTTGGAAAGCAGTATGGAGATTCCTCAGAAAAATGGGAATAAACCTACCACAAGACCCAGCAACTCCACTCTTAGGCATATATACAAAAGATGCCCATTCATACAACAAAGATGTCTGTTCCACTATGTTCATAGCAGCTTTATTTGTAATAGCCAGAACTTGGAAGCAACCTAGATGTCCCTCACCCGAAGAGTGGATAGAGAAAATGTGGTACATCTACACAATGGAGTACTATTCAGCAGAAAAAAATAATGGAATCATGAGATTCGCAGGCAAATGGATGACACTAGAAGAAACCATCCTGAGTGAGGTAACCCAGTCACAAAAAGAGAAACATGGCATGTACTCTCTCATATATGGATTTTAGACATAGATCTGGGGAGTGCCAGCCTACAATCCTATGGCCAGAGAGTCTGGGAAACAGAAACTACATTTAGTGGCTGGTTAAGTACTGAGCTGAACTCAAGAAAGCCAGTATCAGAGAGGGAGGACTGATGATCAAAGGGATTAAGACTGGGCTGGTTTAACCCCCAGAAACAGCTGACCAGACAAAGGTTAACTCTTGAATCCCAGGCATCAGCCTGAGAATCCAGCATGGGACTGATCAAGACCCCCTGAATCTGGGTGTCAGTGATGAGGCCTAGGTAATCTATTGAGCCTTGGGCAGCAGATCAGTACCCATACCAAGTATACACACGGACTTTGGACTCCCATAGAACAATGTGAGGTGCACTCTCACCCTGAACTCTTGGGGAAGGGTCTAGGCCCTGCCCTATATGAAATGACAGACTATGGACACCCCCATGGAGGGCCTCACCCTCCCTGGGGGAATGAGGGGATAATGGGGGGGGATGGGGGGAGGGCACGGGAGGAGGGGAGGGAAAAGGAGAGGGACCTGGAACTGACTTGTGAAGCAACCTTGTTTCTTATCTAAATTTAAAAAAAGAATAAAATAAAAAAAATCATTAAAAAATAATAAGAAGAAGAAAACTTAAAAAAAAAGAAAAATAAATTGTATAAAGTAAAAAAAAAGAGTATATAGTGAAAAGAACCAAAAGACACACATTAATTATATCCTTAATTTTCAGGACATTGCTAGTGTCGCAATGAAGCCAGATTAGGGAACCCTGCTAGGTATTTAGCAGTTTACCAAAGGAATGTCCTTTAAAGAAGGAAAAATGGTCAACAGATGACCAAGAAGGGACTTCTAAAAAAGGTTCCAAGGGACCCAGGAAAAGTAAATGTTTATTCTGTACCACCAGGACCATTTTATAACACCTTCATTTATATGTGTATTTGAGTGTACAGAGGAAGTGGTCTTTCATCAGAAAGACTGGGTATATCATAGATTAAAACCCCAAACTGATTGCTAACTTTTGGGGGAACTGGAATAGTTAATCTCAAAAGTCAAGATGATAAGGGCCAGATCTCCGGGTCATGGCAGTAGGGCATTATCTTGACAGGGTTGACTGAGGAAGTAAACCATCCACTGTCAGTGGTATTGTTCCTGGGGATGAGATCCACAACTATATAAGGAGAAGGTGAGCAGAGCATAAACCCTCCTTTGCGTTATTCTTGTTGCCCTGGACCTGTGCCTCAGGCTCCTGGATCTATGGGTTCTCATCAAATATGCACACCACCCTCATGACAACATGGCAAGACAAACACTCCTTCTTTGACATGTTTTGGCCATAGTGTTTCATCTGGGAAAGTACCCTAGGCATGAATTCCATGGAGAGCTACTAAGCACAATTGGATATTTGGGAGTGATAAATGCTGAAAAGCATCCCAGTGTTAAAAGATTGCCTTCAAATGTCAGAGCCAGAAGAATGTGTAAGCCTGACAACCTGACAAGACTACCATGATGCCTTTGGAAGAAGAAAAGCACAGAAACCTCCTGCCATTTCCTTGTCCCTGCTGTTCTTTCCCACAAGCACAGGGTGTGACACACTACTCCAGGGAGCCACTCCACTTGGGACAGTTCACAAATGCTGTTATCTGTTTCAAATTTTGTCCTAACTCTTGATAGTTTTGACAAACACCATGTCAATCGTGAGACTGTTTACACTCAGTTCATCTACATTAAACGTTTCTGGGAGAAAGTAATATGATGGCCCACCTATTCCTGCCTGTACCAGGTGAAGTGACAATGACAGAGACAACAAATTAATAGTAGTATCTACTTAAGAGAATACGGCTAATTCATTCATAGATTTTTCAAATATCATACAGTATGATATATAATTATGAAACAATGCAATGAAATTGTTACATTACAACAGTACCTTCCATTTCAATTTGTAATCCCTCTATGGAGGCTGAAGCTTGGATTTCAGGTTGTTTAAAAACTTTACGAACAACAGGGCACCTCCAACACATTTGTCTCAATGTATCTGAACCTGGGAATGCATTAACAACAGCGACAGTTATGTCAGCTTCATGGCATAAAAAACAGAGGAAATCAAAAATGGTTGTTTTGTGCACTATATATCATGAACATTGTCCAGACACTGTCCTCAGAGTCACAGTGGTGCCTTAGGAAATTCACTGAGTGCACTGTACTCTCCAGCATGCATTACATGTATGCTGTAGTTAAGTCATAATTTCATGTCAACTTGACAATGCAAAAAGAACAGCAACGTGACTATGTTACATTGGAGTTGTACCTAACAAGCAACATCAAAATCTCTTTTACAGTCACATGAACACAGTAAACGTTATACCTCCCTACCTTCTGAGAGGGTTTCACTAGGATGCTATATACTTGACTCCCTATGAGACTTCTCAGTTCAAAACACATGAATATACAAGTATGTATGCAACTTCCTCAAGGAAAAACATATACACCACAGAAGTGTTCTGTGGTGTCTGCTACAGGCAGCAGAGTCAAGTATCTATGAGTGAACCCAGGTAGCTTGAGTTTGGGTTGGTTACTCATGGACAGGAGTACTAAGAGTGCACCATGCCTGTTCGTGCCTACCATCTCTGTATTGTAATGTTTTCTATTCTTTTTTTTTCAGAAAAGATATCTAGTCTAGTCTAGCCTGAAATTCACTATTGACTAAAGAAAGGCCTTGAACTTATGTTTCTCCTTCTTCCACTTCTTACGGACAAGGATTAACAGGATTGAACCATCCTGGGTACATTTTAAGCACCACTAAGAAACTCTGTCTGAACATACAAAGCATGGACTGAGGCAACAGGGCCAAAGCTCCAGCCCATATTAGCATATAGCTTCCCTTATGCAAATGACAACATTACAAAGTACTGAAAGTAGACACATTATGCAGGATACACTTGAAAGAATATACTGAGCCACTTGATTCACTGCAGAAAATATGTAACTTCTCAGTGTGAACTTCGAAATATGGAGACTGACCATCACTAAGAGGAAAAACTCCTGAAGCATAGAGTTTGTACAACCTTTAACGGTGTAGTCCCATGGGGAGTGGGTGTGGTATAATGCATTCCTTCAATAACAGCACTTGTGGGCTTAGACAGGTAGAGCTGTATGATATCCAGGCCATAAAGTTATACATACAGGTAGTGCTAGTACAGCCACAATATACAGTGAGACCCTGCTTCAAAAACAAAAACACAAAACAGAAAACAATACCCTTAATTCCTGAAAGAATGAGATAGCACTGATCACTATCCAAATGATGACTAGAATTCTTAGTTGACACTGTGCCTTAATTGTGTTGTTGTTTGTGTATACTAATATTTCCAACCCACTTAAACTTTTCTCCAGACATTATTAGAATGAGTCATGTCTATGCTAAATCCATTTGGGACATATCCACCCCACATTTCAGTGTACTGGGTTTCATTTTGGGGTTCCGTCTCCTGAAAAGAGGTATGTGTGCTTCTCTCTCTTTCAAACTGACTATCTTATGCCTGCTGAATGACAATACCTAGACAACACAGTCATGATTGTATATGAGATCCCTGTATGTATGCCTTATTGCAGGCAGATGCTGGAAACTGGAAGTCTTCTGTAGGGATTATTGTGCGTTTGATGCGATAAAAGTGGCTCTCGAGATCCACAGCAAAAGAGCTTCATCAATATTTCTGAACTATGCTTTATTCATAGGGATAAGCACAAAACCACATGCCTGACAAAGCATGGCTGTGATGAGGTTTGGGCACATTTTTTAGATAATCTGTATTCTGATTTTTCAAGTTACATATATGTCATGGTAAACCGGGTTGGGAATAATGCCATGTGTGCTTTTTGGGGGAAAAAAGTTTAGACACATCTTGGAGCATAACACAAAATTAAACAAAAGGGTTCACTGGTGAGCAAAATAAACAAAGTTATATCCATGTGTTTTTACTTGGTATATGGTTTCTTCTACTTTTTGTTTAAAGAAGAAAACATACAATTAAAGCCACAATTCTAATTAACAGCATCTTAGATTACATTGGTGCACTGGGCATTGGTGGCACACGCCTTTAATCCCAGCACTTGGGAGGCAGAGGCAGGTGGATCTCTGTGAGTTTGAGACCAGCTAGGACTACAGAGCGAGTTCCAGGGCAGCCTCCAAAGCAATACAGAGAAGCCCTGTCTCGAAAAACAAAATAAAACAAACAAACAAAAAGATTACAGTGATGCATCATACAAAATACAGCATTTATACAATTCCTACTTAAATCGTGTCGTAGAAGTGATTAAAAACTACATACCATATATGAATTTTCTAGGAGTCATCTGAAATCAATAGGAAAGACAATATTTAATGACATGATCATGCTGAGTAATGTCTTCAAAGACTTTGGTTTGTTCAATGACATGGTGTAATTGCAATCAGGACAGAGAAGAAGAGTAAAGAGGAGACTATATAAATGGGTACATTATTTGATGATGTCACAGAAGATCTGGGACTCTGTACTTTGTGACAAAAACTACTATCTTTCATACTTTTTCTGATTCAAACGCAGATGAGGCAAACTTGTCTGGCCCTAGAGGGTTACAAAATCTACATCACATACCATCCATGAAAACTTGTATTTTTTCTAAAATATTTTCTGTTTCTAGGGTCTGTGCTTTGGAAATATCTTGAGTATATGACGCAATGTTTGATGTGTTGGAAAATTAGTGTGTCCACCTAGAGGACATTCATTGTTCAGTTGGTCACATCTTTAAACCATGAAGATCTTTAAACCTATAGTGTCAACTAGAGGCACCCACCTCGATGGAAACACTCATAAAGCAGGACACAAGTTGTGCAACATTGTGATGAATGCTGTCTTGAATCAAGACCAAGTTGGTACAGTTACATTCCCTCCTCCTACTAAATAAACTCTCTAATGCCCATGATGCCTCAGACCAGTTTCATGATTCAAATGTGGTACCCACTGAAACATGAGGGGACCAATGATATAACCTTTCTGCCTTAGAGAAGGGAAAAGTTTTACCTTCACCATCCTCAATGGAGGCTTTTGATGGAACCTTGGTGAAGTTGCAATGTTACCAGGTTCAGGAGACACTAGGGACAAAGAAAGTGACTCTTAGCCCACAGAATTTCAATTTACAGGAAATCTTTTCTTAATGTGGGCAAAAGTGCATTTATTTGGTACATACAACTAACCCTGTTGAACAATATTGTTGGGTGGTAGCTGGACAGTCTTCGAGGAAGCAATACAAGGCAGAAAGAAGATTAAGAGAAAAGTAAAGAGACATTTTTTCCTTATGGATAATGGGAAACTAAAGCATTGTAAACGAATCTGTTATATGATATAATGATGAAATACATCTTTGAAACTATCTTTTTACTCTCATTCTGGTTGGAAGACTCAGCAGTTGGCTGTTCAGAGAGTATAACAGAACCTTCTATGCCCGATTCTCTTAGTCCACCATGCATTTTCCAAGTTCTATTTATTGTCCTCAGTCTTACAGCAAGTGCCTTTGCTGGTGAGCCATCTCACTGGCCCCAGAAAACAATTTTATGACAAAAATCACACAGTGCATCCAGTCCCTGAGATGATTTTGAGTGCAGGGTAATTGCCACTCTTCAGTCTCAGCTGGCCAGCAATAGATGATTACCAATGTCCACGTAGTAAAGGTCTGATCCGCTTTTACTAGAAGTTCAACTGCCTTTCCAGGCAAGCTTTTCTGAGAACAGTTCTATGGTGTATTCTTGTTGCCCTGTGCCTCAGACTCCTGGGTCTATGGGTTCTCAGCAAATATGTACACCATACTCATGACAGCATGAACAATGGACACAATGTCTTTGGCATGTTTTGGTGATAGTATTTCAGCGCACAAACTGGGAAAGTACTTTGGCACAAATTCCATGGAGTGCTACTAAGCACAACTGGATATTGAGTGGTGACAAATACTGAAAAACATAAAGTGTTAAGTCTGCCTTCAAATGACAGAGCCAGAAGCAAAGAGTACTTAAGCCTGAGAACACAACTAGACTACCATGATGCCTTTGGAAGAGAAAAGCAATGCAACCTTGTCCCATTTCCTTGACAGTACTGTTCGTTCCCATAAGGACAGCGTGTGACACACTACTCCAGAGAGCCATTCCACTTGGGACAGTGCAGAAATGCTGTTGTCTGATTCAAATTCGTTCTAACTCTTGACAATTTTGAAAATTACTGTGTCAATCTTGAGACTGTTGACACTCAGTTCATCCATGTTAAAGGCTTCTGGGAGAAAGTAAGAGAGAGGTGGTTCACCTATCCCTGCCTGCAGCAGGTGAAGTGACAATGACAGACAGAAGATTGACTTCACCTCTCCTATGTTTATTGTTACTTAATGACTGCAACACTTAAAATTCCTTCAATTCTTTGGCTGAATTCGACTGAGAAATGCCAATTAACATTATCTACATTGGAAATTAATGCTAAGTTGATCATTTTCAACTCTTATAATGCAATTCACAACTATCATATAACAACAATTGAAATTATTGCATTTCAACAGTACCTTCCATTCCAGTTCCTGGTCTTTTTTTTGGAAGTACCAGCTTGCACTTGAGGTTTGTTAGTGTACCAAGGAACAAAAGGGTCTTTCCAATTGGTGATTTTACACAATTTGTAATCTGGGAGTACATTAACGGCAGAGTCAGAAATGTCAGGTTCAAAGCAGAAAACAGAGAAAACCAGTCAGTTTTTCTAAGTCTATCTCATGACTGTTCTGCAGGCACCTTCATCAGAGTCACAGTGGTGATTAGGGAGATTATTGAGTATACGGCATACTCCAGCATGCATTAAATTCATGGTGCAGGGAACTCATAAATTCATGTCAGTGTGACAGGGTTGTGTTTCCCTCCTGAATGCATGTGCCTAATGATCGCTCACATTCAAATCTTAGTGAATAAACACTCGGGAGGAGAAAAATTTCTGGAGCATAGTGTGTACCTGCCTGTAAAGATGTATTCTCATTGGGTATAGAGAGCACTCCTTTTAGAACAGCACTCTATAGGCAGAGGCAGGTGAAGTTGTGTGAGTTCCTGGCCAGTGTGGTATATGTATAGGGTGTTCTAGTACAAGTATAGACACACAGTGAGTCCCTGCCTCAAAAACAAAGCAAAAGAAAACACTGTATTCTCAAAAAATGAGATGGTATAGATCAAGCTCCAGTTGGCGACTGCAGTTCTCAGGGCACATTGCCCCTAAATTGTGTCCCTCTTGTGCCCATGCTGATGTTGTACAATCTGTTATGTTTTTCTTCAGAACATACTGGAATGCATTATGACCTAGAAACCAAGTTTGGAACTATGCACCACACTCTCCCATGTCGTTCATTTATATTTCAGAATCTGTCATCTAAAAACCGGGATGTGTATTCTTAGCCTTTCAAAGAATAGACTGCCTGTTGCAGCTGAATGGCACTACCTAGAAGTTCTAACCACTACAGCAGTCATTTTGGCATGTGGAATCCCTATTAATTTTCCTTATTGCAGGCACATGCAAGAAGGCAGAACTCTTTGACAGGATTATTGTGCTTTGGTGGATAAGTAGTGTCTCTTGAGATTCAAAGTTAAGGTACCTCATCACTATCTCTGATGTCTGATGTATTCATTTATGGATGAACACACAAACATATGACTGACTCTATATAACTGAGATAAGATTTGAATACATTTTTGTAGTTAACTTGTATTCTGATTTTCAATTTACATATCTATCACTGAAAATTTAAATGGGTAAATGGAGTGATATTTTTTGGAGGGGGACATTGAGACAAGAGCTGGAGCCCAATACCTCAAAATATCAAAGTATTGCTGTTGAATACAAGGAACATACACATATTTATGATTTCATACTTGATAGGTCCCTTTCCTAAAAACACTAAAAAAAATCTAAAACCAAAATTCTCCTGTGATTAGGTATCTTAGATAACAGTGGTGCATAACAGAAAATACAACTGGTACTCATACAATTCCTAGTTAACATGTGTCTTAGGAAAGTGATCCGAGAATACATACCGTATCTGACTTTTGTAGACACCACCTGCATTCAATAGGAAAGAAAATATTTAATGCCATGATCATGCTGAGCAATGTCTACAAAGCCATTTGTTCTTCTGCTGACAGTGTAATTGCAGCCAGAACAGAGAAGAGCAGTAAAGAAAACACTATATTAATGGGTACAAGATTTGATGATGTCACAGAAGATCTGGGATTTTGTACTTTGTGACAAAAATTTTAACTTCCATACTTTTCTGAGTCAAAAGCAGTTGAGGTACACTTGTCTGGATTCTAGAGGGTTGTAAATCCAGCATCACATTCCACGAAAAGTTGTATTTTTCTCTAGGATATTCTCTGTTTCTAGGGCCTGTGGTTTGGAAATAGCATGAGTATATGACCCAAAGTTTGATGTGTTGGAAGCTTAGTGTGTCCAGCTTGAGGACGTTCAGTATTCAGTTTGTTAGACCATTGACCCATGAGTGCATTAGAGACACCCACCTTGATGGAATCACTCATAAAACAGGACACAACTTGTGCCACATTGTGATGAATGCTGTCTTGAATCAAGACCAAGGTGGTACAGTTACATTCCCTCCTCCAACAACTATATAAACTCTCTAATGCCCATGATGCCTCAGGCCATTTTCGTGATTCAAATGCGATACCCTCTGAAACACTAGGGACCGCTGATGTGATCTTTCTGCCTTAGAGAGAGAAAAACAGTCTTACATTCGCCTTCCTCTGTGGTGGCTCTTTCTGGACCCTTGGTGAAGTTGCACTGCTAGCAGTTTCAGGAGACACTAGGGACAAAGAATGTGACTCTCAATTCCCAGAAATTAGTATTATCTATATTGGATTTTTGCTTGATATGAATAAAAGCTCATGATCTTAGTATATTTTAATACACCAAATGAACAATATGGTTGGGATGTTGCTGGATTTCCAAGAAGAGAAATTAAGGCCGAGAGGTGACATGGAAAGAAATGAAGAACACTGACAGATTTTTGTCTTTCTAAGTAATGGGAATTTGTAGCATTGTAAAAGACTGTGACGTATGGTGTGAAAACGAAATACATCTTTCCCAAACTTGCTTCTTACATTGCTTGTTTGGGAGGTCCAACCCTGCCTGTGGATGCATCAGATTTAAACCCTCTATGCCTGACTGTCTCAGGGCACCATGCATTTTCAGGTTCAATTTCTTGTCCTCAGTCGTACAACAAGTGCCTTTAATGCTGAGCCATCTCACTGGCCCCACAAATCGTATCTGATGATAAAAATCACACAGTGCAGCCACTCCCTGAGATGATTTTGAGTGCAGGGTAATTGTCACTCTCTTCAGGCTCAGCTGGCCACCAGTAGACAATTACCTATGTCCATGTAATTGGACCTGATCCACCTTTTCTAGAGATCCAACTGCCTTTCAAGATTCAAAGAAGGGTTCTTTGCTGTTCTCTCCTAGGTATCGTTTCAAACTCATGAGCTATGTGAGAGTGAGCCATCTGGGTATTGATGAAATGTCTAGGACACCCAGGACTGAGGCTGAAGAACATGTCTGGGAGTTAGTCCACACTGCCTGGCAAATGTCTTCCAATATACAGGGACCACCAATAGGGGAACCGGTTGATTAGATCACACAGGCCCCCATGGCATGCCAGACCAAGACACATGGTAATAATGAAAGAGAAGTAGCTGAGAAGGATGGGGCAGGGGTAATAGGAAGGGAGACAGAAAGGTGGGGGATATAAGTGGAAACCTTTCTCTGACACACACATTTCAGAATCAGGTAGAAACTCTGAATTCAACATACAGATATACTCTATGAAAAGGAGCAAAAGCTACCTCAGAATGAGAGAATCCATAGAAGCACATACACTTCTGATGAAACTGGTTTGTGAGCCTACTGAGGACATGGCAGTGAAGTCACTGAGAGGTCAGAGACTACTTAGATCAAATTTCATGTCCCCAGGAAAGATGAGAAATGTCAGACCATGCCAAGCAGGTGGGACTCAAGTACCGACAGCTCAAGGGACAGACACATCCGATGATTGCCTACACAGCTAATCCCCTCATGTCTATGTCCTTTAATCTGAGGAATATGGGCAGTATTCTATGGATTCACAAACTCAGTCTCTTAATCTTGGAGGATGAAATAAGGATGCCTCTAAAAGCATTAATGATAGGTCTGAGTACAGATCCATTCCCCCATCATCCTTCATTAATTCAAAGTGTCCAAGAGAGAAATCAGCCTGTAACCTGCCTTGACTCAGTCACCCAGCATGCCAGTTACAGTTAAGGAGCATAGACTGCTAAAAGCTGAAGACACACATGGGCCTTTACTTTTCAGAACATTGATAGTGTTGCAATGCGGTCATACTAGAGTAACCTACTATTTGTTTATCAGTCTGTGGATGTCCTTTAAAGAGGGGCTAAATGGTCAGTAGAAGAACAATTAGGCACTACTACATCATCCCACTGGACCTAGGGAAAGTATCTGCTTATTCTGCACCACTAGGAGAACTTAGTAAGAATTTTAGATATGTATACATTTGAGTGTACAGGAGGAGGAGGTCTTCCACCAGAAAGACTCGGTTTACCATAGTTTGAAACACCAAACTGTTCACTACCTTTGGGGGGCCCAGTGATGGTTAATTACAAATGCCAAGATGATAAGGGCCAGACCTCTGGGCCATGGCAATAGAGCATTATATTGACAGGGTTAACTGAGAAAGTAAACTGTCTCACTGTCAGTGGGCCTGATAGCCACAACTATATAATGAGAAGGTGAGCAGAACATAAGCCCTCCTTTGCCTGACTCATGTTGCATTGAACTTGTGCCTCAGACTTCTGGATCTATGGATTCTCAGCAAATATGCGCACCACACTCATGATAGCATGACAAAATGATCTTTGGCATGTTTTGATCATAGTATTTCATCACACAAACTGTAAAGTACCGTAGGCATTAATTCCATGGAGAGCTATTTAGCACAATTGGACATTTGGTAGTGACAAATGCTGAAAAGCATTAAGTGTTAGAAGTCTGCCTTCAAATGACATAGCCAGAAGCAAAGAGTACTTAAGCCTGACAACATATCTAGACTACCATGATGCCTTTGGAAGACAAAAGCAGTGCAACCTTGTCCCATTTCCTTGTCTGTACTGTTCTTTTGCATAAGGGCACGGTATGAAACACTACTCCAGAGAGCCACTCCATTTGGGATAGTGCAGAAATGCTGTAGTCTGTTGAAAATTTTGTCCTGTTTCCAATTTTGAAAATTACCATGTTAATCTTGAGAATGCTTGCACTCAGTTCATCTACGTTAAAGGATTCTGGGAGAAAGTAATAGATAGTTGGTTCATCTATTCCTGCCTGGAGCAGGTGAAGTGACAATGACAGAGAGTAGATTGAGTTCACCTCTCCTATGTTTATTGTTACTTAATGACTGTAACATTTGTTTATATTCTGTTCATCCTCATTAAAAGTTTGTTGGAGAAAGCAATGGGTTGGCTTACCTATTCCGGCCTACAGTAAGTAAACTAACAGATTGAGTTCATCTTTGTCATGCTTTTTGTTGCTCAATGATTGAAAAAGATGAAATTAAAATTCATTCTTAAATTGTGTGGTTGAGTTTCAACTGATGAACTATGCAAATTAACATTATCTAAGTAGAAAATAATTCTAAGGTTGTCAACCCCCCATTGTACAATAATTGCCTGCAACTGCTATATATCTCCCAATGATATTATTGTCTTTCAACAGTACATTCTGTGTCACTTTGTGGCCTTTCTATGGAAGATCCTTCATCAATCTCTTCAATAGTAGCATGCTTCTGGTGGTGTCTAGCCACGATATTGGACACTGGTAAAGTTTAACAGCAAACAGTTTTGTTAATTTCATTCCAGGAAAACAGAGGTAACCAGTAATATTCTTTTTTTGTACATTCTACCTCATGATCATATTCAATCACTGTTATCGGAGTCACAGTGGTGTTTCACAAAATTCACTGAGTACACTGCATACTTCATCATGTATTACACTGATGATGTAGGCAATTCATAAATTCATGTCAGTGTGACATTGTTGGAGAAGAGACACTTTACTGTGTTACATTGACTTTGTACCTGATTAGCAGCATCCAAATCTCTCTTAGAATCACATAAACACAGCACAATTCATAAACTCCCTCATTTCTCTGTGGTCTTAGCTAGGATGCTATATACTATGAGTCTTATCAGTCCAAAATATAGATATAAAAGCATATATTCATCCATTCATATATCCATCCATCCATACACACACACACATGTACACACACATAAATACACACACACATACACCCCACACACACACACACACGCACCATGAAAGTTTGCCCTCAAGGTAATGGACATATTTGCTAATACGTTATTTATTATTTATTAAAGTTTGCCTGAAGATATGAAAGCAAAGTTAGCATCAAGACAGATATGAGACAGTGGTTGTACACGCCTTTAATCCTAGGTCTCAAGAGACAAAGGCAGACATATCTCTCTGAATTCAAGGCCACCCAAGATTAAAGCAGTATAAAAGAGTACCAGAGCTCGTGCCTTTAATCCCAACGACAGCATGATATAAAAAATAAAAGCAGAGTCTACAGCAGACTCACTCTCAGGATTCTCCAGCCATGTTGAGGAGAGCATAGCAGTCTGGGATTGCAGTGTGAGCTTTGGAGGAGCCAGAATAGTCTCTCAGTCTGAGGTAGAGGTAAGAGTTAGTGGCTGGGTGCTTTGATTTTCTGATCATAAGCTTGAAGCTTGAACCCCAATATCTGTCTCTGGGTCTTCTGTTTATTGTGCTACAGACATACACTATGGAGTTGCTCTGTGGTATCTATTAAACAGCAAAAGAGTAGGCTACATATGAGTAAATCCAGGCAGCATGACATTTGTGTTGGTATCTCACATAACTAAGAGTAGAGAATATATTTATTTTCACTCTTTACATTCAATGTTTATGTAAGAAGCCATAGGAGGGCCCAAGCTTAACAGAAATATGAGGTCTTCCTCCAGTGTCTTCTACCTGCCTGGTGCCGATCACTGAGTGATTCACTGATAAGACAACCACATTGAGAGGTAAACAAGACTTGCATATTTTCTACAAATATCCAGATTCAAAGTCATTCAAAGCCAAATTGTCACATGATGGTTAGCATGAAAAGAAACTTCCCTTCAACTAACCAAGCCTCGATATGTTCTCATCATACACTGACAAAAACAGCAGCCAGATGCATTGGTAATATTATAAACAGTGCCTGAACACATCATTTTCTAGGTGACATCCTCATTGACTATCTGTAGGGCCTTGATTAATTCTAGCTAAGATGCTGTAGTGACTACAGGAGGAATGACAGTGCACCATACATGTCCATGCCTTCCTCACCAAACACCTACTGTCTCTATACTGTTATGTTTTCGTTTTTCAGAAAAGATCTCCATTCTAGTCTAGCCTGAAATTTACTCTACAGCAAACAATGACTTTGAACTCATGTTTCTCCATCTTCCACTTCTCAGTGACAAGGATTAATAGGACTTAACCATCTGGGGTACATTTTAAACAGAACTAAGAAACTCTGGGGCCTGGACATGCTAAGCATGCACTGAGGGAACTGGACCAAAGCCTCCAGTCCATATTAGCATACTAGCTTCCCTTAATCTAAATACAATACACCAAAGTACTGAAAGTGTAGTTGCACTCCATATAAAATACTTTTGACATGATGTTACTGAGTCTTATGTGGTTCATTACGGAGCATATGTATCTGAGTGGTCATGCTGAAAATATGGGGACCAAATACCACTGAGAAGAAAACTCCTGAAGCATAGAGTGTACCATATTTTTAGAGGTATAGTCCCACTGGGTGTGGTAGTGAACTCCTTTTATAACAGTAGTCTGTAGGCAGAGGCAGGTGGAATTGTGTGAGTTCCAGGTCAGAAAGGTATATACAGAGATAGTCCTGGGAGAAACATGTATACACAGTGAGACCCTGTCTCAAACAAGTAAGCAAGCAAGCAAGTAAGCAAAAAAAAAACCCACCATATCCAAAAACCAAAACCCTATATTGTCCAGAAAGTCAGATAGTACAGATCAACATCCAGGAGGGGACTGGGGTTCTTAGTGGACACAGAGCACAAATTGTGTTCCTTTTTTGTGCCCATGCCAATGTTGTTAAATGCCTTAAAGCTTTTCAGGTTTTACTGGAAGGAGCTAACCAAGTCTAGCTCAATTCCAGTTCACAACCATCGAATGTCAATGGAGTGGTTAGCATACAGTCTCTGACCTGTACTATATTGTGGGCTGTTTTCTTTCCTGCTTGCTAATGTGTGCAGGCAGGAGAATTTCACTCTCCCAGCCTTCTGACCACTTTGGTAGGTGTGAAAACCTGAGTGTCCCAAACCTAAGAATCTGTGAACTGATGAGACTGGTACTTCCTTATGATGATTAGTATGAAATGTGACACTGATGTAGCAATACCTGTCCTGGGCTAAGGGACCATGTGTGGACTCCATGTCATAAATCAGGTAAAGCCTAGGACTTGCAGATATCCTGACATGTACAAAGAAGACAGGGCTTCTTGTTTGGTGAGTAAGGTAACATTTTAGAGATTCAGGATAGTGGGCAATTATGTCTGGGTTCACATCATGGCTTTTCCATCTAAGAGTACATTCACCATTGAGTGTGTGTGTGTGTGTGTGTGTGTGTGTGTGTGTGTGTGTGTGTGTGTGTGTGTGTGTGATTCCACCCTGGGAATTCACATAGCCAATAAAGAAAAACATGTATCTTGGCTGTTGCTAAGTGATTCAATGACAGTAATCTAAGCAGTGTCAATACTCAGGCTAGTTATTTTAAAATGTCCTTCTATCTAATGCCACAAATTTTAAATGCCTAGGTCACTCTTCTTCTAATGATATATGTTGCTCGTCCTAAGAGCCTACATTTGAAATTTGCCAACCTTTATTAAAAAGAAGTTCAGATTTTAAAATGATGTTTATATTGTCCTATGTATCAATCAATGTCCATGCCAAAAAAATTGTTTTCCAGAGTATTCTAACTGCTTTACCATGGACATTGAAGCCCTGTTTAATGAAATGAACACCGGATTCTTTGACAGATTAACATTACAAATTAAAACTTCTAGAAATATAAGACCATTGAAAACCTAAAATCTTAATTAACAGCTCTCCATAACTGTGACCATCTCTACCTTTAGGTTTTGATCAATTCATGAAGACAGCTATAGCTTGGCTTTGTGAAAGACTTCTGAAAGCAGGTCAGGATAACTGAATCGCATAACACATGAAAACAGAAATAAGAGTTAACACGTCTCTTCAGAGCTGTGGTTCTACATACACAGAAACAAAATTAGTATTTCAAACAATTCTTTCTGTTCACCATATACATACTCTTTACACTCATTGGTGACTGTAAATTGATATCAACACTCTAATTAGTTCATCAGTCTTTATAAATCACCACAGTCTCTACTTCATGTGCTGAAATAGTGATCACGCATTCAGGACAAAACAATCACATTACAGTGTGAAATTTATCATAATATTTCTACTACTGTGAGTCACTCTGGTTTTCTGAGATGAATAACTTCAATATAGAGAAACAAGTATTTGCTGTACATAATATTTATGAAAGAGCATTGCAGTATATATATATATATAGGTATATCTACTAAGGACAAGCTTGAGGGAAGGAATATGAATTTGTATTATATGTATATATATATCACATATACATACAGGTTAAATTATGAAGTCAAATTTTTCATAGAGAATATAATACATACAATATATACTAAGGCATAACCCTAACAATACAGAAGTTATAAAAGAAGATATTTTGAGAAATATTTGCTAGTCTAATTGAAGGAATACTCAATGACTAGTAATCACATACCTTGACTGTTACAACAATTCCCCATTATACTCTAATTCCAACATAATTATCACTCCACAATTTATTTTTGGTTGTGAGCCTAGCCTTTAATGGCTGAGCCATCGCTCCAGGACCACTCCACAATTTATAACCATACAGTCTGAAGAAACTCTCAAAGTGGACTGGCATTCAGACCTGAGGCATGATGTATCTAAGTATCTGTCAGCATGGTGTCATAGAACTCACATAATGAACTCATAATACAATACATGCAATGATATCCAACAGCTGCTATCTAGTCAAATCTGCTCATATATTCTAAGACTACAGGGTGGGTTATTATGAATGCCAGTGTACTTTACTAAGAATGACCAACTCCAAAGTAAATACCTCCCCCATCCCACACAAAGCTTGCTCTCAAGAAAATGGACATAAACAACAGAATTGTTCTGTGGTTATCTGTTGAATGGAAGAAGAGTCAACTACATATGAGTGAATCCAGGTAGCATGAGGTTTGTGTTGGTATCTCACATAACCAAGAGTAGATAATGTATTTATTTTCATTCATTACATTCACTGTTTATGGAAGAAGCCATAGTAAGGTCCTTGCTTAACAGAAATAGGAGGTCTTTCTCCACTGCTTTCAACCTGCCTGGTGCCCCTCACTGAGTGATTCTCTGATCATAGGGGCACATTGAGAGGTAAACAAGGCTTGCATATTTTCTAGAAATGCTCAGATTCAAAGTCATTCAAAGCCAAGTTGTCACATGATGTTTAGCATGAAGAGAAACTTCCCTTCGACTAGCCAAGCCTCGATATGTTCTCGCCATACAATGACAAGAACAGCAGCCAGATGCATTGGTAATATTATAAACACTGCCTGAACACATCATTTTCTAGTTGACATCCTCATTGACAGCCTTGAATAATTCTAGCTAAGATGCTGTAGTGACTACAAGAGTAATTGCAGTGCACCATACATGTCCATGCCTTCCTTACCAAACTCCTATCTTCTCTATACTGCTAAGATTTTGTGTTTCAGAAATGATCGCTATACTTTTTTTTTAATTCTTGCTTTTTGGGGGACACCATGCACCTCCCAAATAAATGCATAACGACTTACTGATACTTAAGAATGCATAGTCTTTTTTTGGTGGGGAGGGTTTCAAGACAAGGTTTCTCTGTATTGCTTTGGCGGCTGTCCTGAAAGTCTCTCGGTAGACCAGGTTGGCTGGTCTCAGCGTCCCCAGTGCTGGGATTAAAGGCATGTGCTACCAATGCCCAGCATGAATGCACAGCCTTATCTCAGCTTATTTCTAGCCAGCTTTTCCTAACCTTTATACCATCTACATTTTGCAACTACACTTTTATCTTTTTCTATTCTATATATCTTCCTTTCCTTATTAATGCATGGTTTGCTGTGCAGTTGGGTGACTGACCCCTGGGGTTCTCCTGTCCTCTTATTTTGACCCTTAATCTCTCTTCCCAGATTACTCCTCCAATTTATTCTTTCTGTCTGCCAGCCCCGCGTATCCTTTCTCTTGCCTAATTATTGGCCATTCAGCTCTTTATTAGACCAATCAGGTGATTTAGGCAAGCAAAGCAACATAATCATTAAACAAGTATTCCAGAGAATAAACAAATGTAACACAGCCTAAACTAATATTCTCAACAAACCATGTCTTTGGCATTTCCTTCAATCTGCAGAGACAGCCTCACTGGCTAGGAGTGTGTCAATACCCACACCTTCCTCCCAATGCAAGTCCTCTCTCTCTCTCAGAAAAGCACACACACGCACAACACCACAAAAATCTGAAACCAAAACATACACACTCATCAAATGAAAAATCTTCCAAGAGGACCCTACAATTCTAAGCATTTATGCACCGAACACAAGGGCACCCATATTCATAAAAGTACTACAGCTAAAGTCACACTGATCCCCAACACAGCAATAATGTGACTTCAATATACTCTATTCAATAGGCAGGTTGTTTGGACAAAACCCAGTCAGAGATATGATGGTTTTAAATAATACCCCAAACTACATGTACCTTGTAGATAACTAGGTAATATTTCACTCAAATATACAAGAATATATTTTCTTCTCAGCAGTTCATGGAGCTTTGACCATATAACTGCACATGAAGTTTCAACAGACACAAGATAACTGAAATAGTACTCTATATCTTATCTGGACACCATGGACCAAACCTAGATATCAACAACAGCAGAAACAACAGAAAGTGTACAAAAACATGGAAACTGAACAACTAACTACTAAGGGAAATTGAGTCAAGACAGAAATGAAGAAGGAAATTAAAATTTTTCTTTATTTTTGAGACAGGGTTTCTCTGTGGCTTTGGAGGCTGTCCTGGAACTACCTCTTGTAAACCAGTCTGGCCTCAAACTCACAGAGATCTGCCTACCTCTGACACCCGAGTGCTGGAACTAAAAGCATGTGCCACCAACGCTCGGCTGGAAATTAAAAATTTTTAGAATTGAATGAAGAAGGAAAACTCCAACGCAAGGAAGTTAACTACACTCATAAAAACATAGGCACTAGATCATCCCAATTTGCCAACAGCCAAAATAAAAAAAAGGGGGAAATCCACACTCAGTATCACTGCCACCTCAAATCCAAAGCAAACAAGAATTAACAAACAATGGTCATTAATATCCCTCAATATTAATGGTCTTGACTTGCTTATAAAAAAGACACAGGCTACCAGAATGGATACAAAGACAGAATCCATCCTTCTGCTGCATACAAGAAACACATCTCAACTACAAAGACCGATATTACCTCAGAGTTAAGGGTTGGGAAAAGATTTTCCAACCAAATGGACCCAAGAAACAAACATGTGTAGCAAACTTAACATCTAACAAATTAGACTTCAAACTAAAATCAATCAAAAGAGATGACAAAGGACATTTCATATACATCACTGGAAAAATCCATCAAGATGAAGTCTCCATTCTAAACATATATGCCCCAAGTACAAAGGCATGCAACTTTGTAAAAGAAACATTACTAAAACACAAATCACACATAAATCCTCACACACTTTTAGTGGGAGATGTCAACACCCCACTCTCACTACTAGACAGGACTTCCAGACAGAAACTTAACAAAAAAACAAAGGAACTAACAAAAGTTATGACTCGAATGGGTTTAACAGACATCTATAGAACATTCAATCCAAACACAAAACAATATGCCTTCTTCTCAGCATGACAGGGAACCTTCTCTAAAATCCATCACATAGCAAACATCAACATGTAAAAAAAAATTGGAATAACCCCCTGTATTTTATCGAACCACCATGCTTTGAAATTTGAATTCAACAACAACACACATTGCAGAAATCCTATAAACACATGGATATTGAATAATGAGCAATTGCACCATTCCTGAGTAAAGAAAGAAATGAAATGAAAAATTAAAGACTTAATGGAACTCAATAAGAATAAAGACATGACATACCCAACCTATGGGACACTTTTAAAGGAGTGTTCATAGCACAAGGTGCCCACATGAAAAAATCTGGAGAATAGTCACACTAGAGGCTAACAGCACAACAGAAAGCTATAAAATAAAAGAAAGCAAACTCACCCTGGAGGAGTGGATGCCAGGAAATAATCAAATTGTGGGCTGAAATCAATAAAGTAGAAACAAAGAAAATGATACAAGGAATCAATGCAACAAAGAGTTGGTACTCAACTCAACAAAATACCCAGGGTAGCCAAAACAACCCCGGAGGCATCACCATCTCATATTTCAAGCTCTATTGTAGAGCTATACTAATGAAAACAGCTTGGTATTGGCACAAAAATAGACAGGTAGACCAATGGAATAGAATAAAAAATGCTGATATTAACCCATACTGTAATGACATTCTTCCCGACAACCTGGTCCCAGAACCATGTCACTCCCAAATGAACATGCAGGGCGCAGTAATACTTATGAAGCGGTTGGCTATTTCGTATGGTTTCTTGTTGGCTAGCTCTGACTTAATTTTTAACCATAACTGCTAATCTGAGTATTTCCACATGGTCTTCTCTTACTGGAGAAAGGGTCTGGACCTCTTATCCCACTTCGTTCAAGGGTATTCCCACTTTCTCTTCAAAGAGGTTCAGTTTGGCTGGATTTATGTTGAGATCTTTCATTCATTTGGAGTTAAGTTTTGTGCATGGTGATAGATACAGATCTATCAACATAGAATCCTACCAGACCTTAAAGAAGAATTACCTCTATTAATCTTCAAATTATTCCAAAAAATAGAAACTGAAGGAATATAGCATAATTCTTTTCAGAAATCCAATATTACCCTGGTAACTTAACCACACAAAGACTCAACAAAAAAGAAAATTATAGACCAACATGCCTTATGAAAATAACTGGAAAAATTCTCAACAAAATACTTTTAAAAAACAAATTTAAGAACACATGAAAAAGATTACCCATCGTGATCAAGCTAGCATTATTCTAGAGATGCAGTGATGCTTCAACCTGTCTAAGTCAATCAATGTAAGCATCCACATAAACAAACTAAAAGGTCAAACCACATGATCACTCTATTAGACGCAGAAAATACCCTTGATAAAATCCAACACTCCTTCATGAAGACTTAGGATACAAAAGACACATATCAACATAACTAAGTGACTTACAGAAAGCCCACAGCCAACAACAACCTAAATGCAGAGAAACCGAAGGCATTTCCACCAATATCAAGGACAGGACAAAGATGCCCACTTTATCCATACCTATCCAATATATTACTTGAAGTCTTAGCTAGAACAGTAAGACAAGTGAAGGAGACTAAAGAAATATGAATAAGAAAAGAATTGAAGTATCTTTATTTACAGATAATATGACTGTATACGTAAATTACCATAAAAACCCACTAAGAAATTTCTATAGTGGATAAACATGTTAAGAAAAGTAGCAGGATTAAAAATTAACACATACATGCATTAGTGTCCTTCCTATGTGCAAATTTCAAATAGACTGAGAAGGAAATCAGAAA